ATACTCAGGGCCCCATCTCTTAGAGGAGTTTGAGGTACTATCAGTTTTACAAAAAACGGATCTAGTCTATAAGGTTCACAAACTACCAAAAAAATACTGAAAGAAATTATAATACCATGATATAGACAACTTATTTTTTTAAAAAAACTATTTACATGGTAGTTATTTTTCTTTACAATCAGCCCAGCCACTTCAACATCTATACACATAAAAATTCTTCCTTCAATTAATTTTAGATGCACCTAGTATGCTGATGTACCATGATTCCTGGCTTAGCTTATGTCACTTAGTACCACTTTCAATCTTTCACCAAATGCTTCAATATTATAATGACTGGCCATCTACAGATATCAAATGACCTGGAATTCATAACTGAATATCACTGGTTAAATATTCTTAATTCAGTTTTACATCTGGAAATACGTGTTGACTGGAAAAATATCTGAATTCATCTATATTAAGATTCAGAAATCGTACCTTACTATAAAAACTAATATTCAGAATTCCTCTTTTTTAATCATAAATAAGATTTGCAATGAAACATGTAAAATGTAGTTTAATAGGTTTTTCTTTCCCTAACATTTATTTGAACGGCAGAGTTACAGAGAGAGAGAGAGAGAGAGAGAAACAGAGAGAGATCTTCCGTCTGCTGGTTCACTCCTCAAATGGCTACAATGGCCACAGCTGGGCCAGTCCGAAGCCAGGAGCTAAGAGTTTCCTCCAGGTCTTCCACGTGGGTGCAGGGGCCCAAACACTTTTGCAATCTCCACTACTTTCCCAGGCACATTAGCAGGGAGTTGGATCGAAAGTAGAACACCTGGGACTCAAATTGGCGCCCATATGGGATGCCAGTGACTACCCACTATGCCAAAGTGCCAGCCCCAGTTTGATAGGTTTTAAGTACATTAACTCCAGTGTACAGATGATGAAAAAGTTAAAAAGTCTGTACTATATGAAAACAAAGCAATAAGGATAAGCATATCAAAATAACCAAAGCTCTTAAAATCAAGAGTTTTTTTTTTCTGGTAAGACTGTACAGATATATTTTTCTGATAATACTGTATAGATTCCCAGGCCGCCTCCACTCTGTTACTATTCTGAATCAGTGTGTGTGTGCTGGGACAAGGAGGCATAAAACATTTTATTTCTTAAAGTTGCTCTTCCAGAGACAGAAAAGCAACCAACTCTATAGACCAGCATTTGGAAACTACTTTAGGTGATGTTAATGGAGCCCTGGGTCTGCTGGTAGGATAAAGTGGGGCTAGTTGAACAACTTTCTCATATGAAGTTAAGCGCAGACAGCACAAGCTAAATCAATACAACTTGCCTCTCAAGAAGTGACCAATTAATTGGTGGCTAGCAAATTTTATGGTTTCCAAGCAGATGAATCCCCTAAGACCAAATGCCATTAGGAGTTTAGATGCTAATTTAGGTACTTAAAATCTGTTCATTTCTAAAAGAGCAAGCATTTTAGAGTACTTTAAAAGGCCAACTTCCCACTTAAAATAGTGATACACCAGCTTCTCATCATGGGAAATACAGCTTTCTAAAACTTGCTACCAGACCATTCAAATAAACTGAAAATAAGAGGGAGGAAGAAGAGAACAGGAGAGGGAGGGAGGGGTAAAGAAACAGGCTTAAAACAAAACAAACCTGGGGATATCTTCAAAATCCCTTATGGAGAGAGATGAGAGATGACCACACTGTGCTTGAGGAGGAGCATGACACTCCACTGAAGAACACACAGTTGACAAAAGGGAAACCACTCAAAAGAAGAAAATCAGAGATCCCTAAAGGCCCAACCACTGTGGAGCTCCGAATTGGCGACATTTTAGACCCACTGAATCACAATTTCTGGGGGTGGGATTCAGACTAAAGCATTTTGTAAAGCTCTTTAAGAGATCTCACAGTACACCCAAAGTTGAAAATCACTGCCCTAAACCTTGAGAGTCAAAAACAATCATGATAAACCCTACTCAATTACAAAGCCATCAAAACTGTGAAATATTCCCATATAAGCAATACCTGGTCTTTACTCACATGTTTCAAAGTTTCCTGGATGTCAACTACACCATGTAACTACCAAGGTGACACAACCTAAAATATCTTGTTCCTGAGAAACTGGAATTAGCCAAATTTCCCATTACCAAAATTAGATATTTTAGAATGAGAAGAAGTCTAAATCTGACTCATTACCAAGTATATCTGTATGTCTGTATCATACTGAAAGTAGTTCAAATGAATGATATCTAAACACAGTTTTCAACTGTTTGAATTTCTCATTTTAAAACAATTTAGTCTTCATCAATTGTTGGGCAACAAGCCTTAAATTTGGTAATTTAACAAATTGTGTTATGCTTTATTACACTGGTCTAATGTCTTTAACTTTCATTTAGTATAGAAAACAATGAAATCAATGAAATATTTTAATCACATTAGTTTTATGCAATTAAGGGTCACCTCAGAATCATTATTCATCACAGCTTTAAGTAAAACAAACAAAACAATTCTGCCAAACTACAAATCTTCTAGGGGGAAAAAAGAAATCCAAATCTCTGTACAGTGAGCACTGTAGTCTCTAATATAAGATGTTTATAGAACCATTCACGGCCGGCGCCGCGGCTCACTAGGCTAATCCTCCGCCTTGCGGCGCCGGCACACCGGGTTCTAGTCCCGGTCAGGGCGCCGGATTCTTTCCCGGTTGCCCCTCTTCCAGGCCAGCTCTCTGCTGTGGCCCAGGAGTGTAGTGGAGGATGGCCCAAGTCCTTGGGCCCTGTATCCACATGGGAGACCAGGAGAAGCACCTGGTTCCTGCCATCGGATCAGCGCGGTGCGCCAGCCGCAGCGCACTGGCCGCGGCGGCCATTGGAGGGTGAACCAACGGCAAAGGAAGACCTTTCTCTCTGTCTCTCTCTCTCTCACTGTCCACGCTGCCTGTCAAAAAAAAAAAAAAAAAACCATTCACTAGAAGTCAGCTTAGTGGCACAGAGGGTTAAAGCTGCTGCCTGTAATACCAGCATCCCATACTGGACTGCTGGTTCGAGTCCTGGCTGCTCCTCTTCTGATCCCTGCTATTCGTCAGCTCCCTGCTATCACACCTGGGAAAGCAGCAGAAAGATTGCCAAAATTATTGGACCCTTGTCACCCACATGGGCTCCTTCCTGGCTTGAACCTGACCCAACGCTGATCATGACAGCCATCTGGGGAGTGAACCAGTGGATGGAAGATTTCTTTCTCTGTTTCTCCCCCTTTCTTTGGCAATCTGCCTTTCAAATGAATAAATCTGTAAGGGAAAAAAAAAAAGGAACCATTCACTCTAAAATCACTGAGTGAAATGGAGAAAAAAAAAAGTATGCTTAGGGAAGAACAAAATAGAACTAAAGTAAAAAATGTATGCTCTTTTAAAATAGGCAAAAATTTAGACAAGATTAATTGTAAATATAATGAACAATGCAGAGTCCGTAGAGTTAACTACCGCAGTACAAGTCTCAGCAATTCACAGCTCACATAGAATAGCAGAGTCTAACCATGTAACTATAGAAAAAACACCTTCCAAGTGTAGCCCTGGAGTGTGACTGGGCAGCATGTAACTATTTGAATGCTTTCTCCTTAACTGGGGAAGGAGCAGGGGGGTGGAATCTGAACAGGAATGCTGCAAAAAAATGCACACACAGAAATACCTAAATTAAAATGTAGCTTAGGAAAGTGAAGTTTTTAAAACAGATTTGTAATATTTACCGCTTTCTCATGTAAAAAGAATTGCTTTAAGTATCAAAGTTATCAAAAAAGGTCAATAATCATTCCAAAATATTTCAAAATGACTTTCTCAGCACAAATTTTCATTAAGTCTGAAACACATTTGCAGGGTATTTTTTGCTAAGCTCAAGATTTTCAGTGATGCTATTTAGCTAAACAGAGAAAGAGGCACTCACCACTTCAAAAAAAATTTTTAACTAAGATGCAATACCTCTTTAAAGCAAATTCACCCAAAAGCCTGGAAAGCAAAGAAAAACCACTTCTATTAATAGATTTACAAAACGTTATATCAGTTTTCTCAAGAAAGGCTTTTAGTTTTAATTTCAAGAACCTAAACTTACATAATTAGTCACCACCTTGACACCTAAAGGTAAGACTTCACCATCAAAATGGTTGGCCTGCCTCTATTATATTTGTTCTGTAACAAACTCATTTAAGATGACTAAGAGGACAAAATCATGACAGCCTTATGGAAAAATATTAATGAGAAATCATATTTTAAAATGATATCCACCATTTACAATTTGGAATATCATCTAATTGTATCAGAACTTTCCATCATAGAGACAGTAAGTCCTCAACAGAAAAAAACAAAGTTACACTTTATAACTTCTACTGCTGTTTCAATTGAAATATATTAAGTCTTGGTAAGGCATGGCAAAGGCAATTTACGAAATTACAATAAAAGTATCCAAAATGCAGTGCTCCAGGTCTAACGTATGAAATTATGCATTTCTGTATTTCCTATTGAGCCTCTAAACGGTTTCAGCCAGCAAGAAGTACTGAATCTACCTCTTAAACACTCGGATAACCAAACTGCTACTCAGATTAAAAGGATGCTAATTCTAGCAAAGGCCAAAGTTGCTAAAAATTAGTTAAGACTACATGCCTGCAAACAGCCATTCAGGGTACTTAAAATGACCCCCCCACCCACACACACTTCTCTTAACTGTTATGCACCCTTATTATTACTAAATCATTGGCAATCCCACCTTAAATTATGCTACAAAAGCTTAAGGCATTAACAAACTAATTTCAAAATAGCTTGTTTAGTCTCAGAAACAAACACAAGTTTTCTACGTTTTCGGGGTGGGGGAGCTCGGGGGCGGACACAGCTACCCATCTTCATACTGGGCTTTTTAAAGCTTCCGTACCCGCAAAGAAATCTTTCAAGCTCACTGAGCAGCCCCGTGTCTTCCTGAAAACCTAGCTCGAGAAATCACCGCAGCAGCTGGGGCCATATGATGGAGCCACCGCCCTCCAGCCCGCACCGACTTCACGCTCGGGACCCGGAGCCCCGACAAGAAGGTGGTCAGCTGCGGCTTTCGCGAGGAGGCGCGCCGTCCTGGGGCGAGGGTAGGTCTGGTTAGGTGCAGAGGAGGGGTCCCCGCCGGCCGCCGCCGCCGCCGCCCCCCGGGCTGCAAAGTAAGTAAACAAATCGGAGCCAGGAACGCGAGCCGGGATGACAGCACCGGGACAAAGAAACCAAACATCTGCTTGAGAGAAGCAGCGAAGGCCAGGCCGTGACAACTTTCACTGAGACCCAAGGCGACACTCTGCTCCGGCCCGAGGCGCTGCGCGGGGGCCGCAGCCGAACTCCTCGGGCACAACAAAGGGCGGCCGCCCGCCTGCCCGCCCGCCGCGGGAGTCCCTCTCCGAGTTTCACTTGATTCGCCCACAAACTACCAGCCGAGTTCGCCGCCGGAGCGCCGAGCCCGCAGCCCGCGGGACGCTGGGCTCCGCGGCCCGACGCCCGCCCGGCGCCCCCGGCGGCCCCGCCGGCCTCCCGCGCGCTCGCCGCCGCCGCCGGAGCCGCCCCGGGCGGTGAAGCGCCGGGTGGGTGCCGCGGGCCTGTCTGGGGAGGGAGGCCATGGCGCGGTTACCTGGGCTCGGGCGGTGGCGAGCAGAGTCCGCTCTCCCGCCGCGGCTCGTCCGCGGGCGCGCCGGGCCAGTCGCTTCCCTCCGCGGCCCGCAGCGCTCCTGGGCCCCGGCTGCGAGGCGTCCCAGCCAGGCCGCCCCTCCTCAGCGCCGCGCGGGCCGGGCCGCCTCGAGCTCCCGGGCCGCCCCGCGCCGGGGGGCCTCTCTCGCGGGGCGCCCGGCTCCCCTCCCCCGCTCCCGCCCCGCGGGCGGCCGGGGCGCCGCGGAGAGGACGGGAGGGCCTCCCGTGGGGAGCGGGCGGGCCAGAACGCGGGCTCCGCCACCCGAGCCGCTCCGTTACCGCAGCGGCGACGACGACCAGGGCCGTGTTGTTGCTGCCAACTTGTCGAGAGGACACTGAGCATGCGCGCGCGGAGACCACATCCGGGTAATTTCAGGGTTTGGCCCTTTTCCCCCCCGCAGCTTTCCTTTCTCCTCGCTGCCCCCGCCTCCCGCCCGGAGTGTCGGGAGGGTCGCTCTGCGCAGGCGCCCGCAGGGCAGCGCCGGGCGGCTCCGAGTGCGGCTCAGGGCCGGGGAGCCGGCCGAGGGCGCTGTCCCGCCGCGGTGGGGAACGGCGGCTCGTGGTCGTCGGAGAAGCTGGTGTCCCTTTCGGAAAGGCACCCGGGCAGCGCGGGAGAGCTCGGCGCGAAGGGTCCAGTAAGCTGGTGGATAGCGAGCAGCCAGGCTTTGTGGGATTTTTTTGTTGTTTGGCTTTGAGGACCTGCGTGGGCGCAACAATGAGACTCTCACAGCCAAGCGCTAACTCTGGGGAGAAGGCGGCTGCAGCGGTTTACCTTGGTGGTGACCGCCTCTCCCTTCTCTCCCTGCAGCCCCGAATCTCGCGCTCGCACAGCGGACCGTCGGGACCCGCGCGATCGAGGGCCTGGCCGGGGGTCTCCGCGGTCTGCGGCCCCGCGGCGCACCTGTTCACCGGGGCGCCCGTGAACTCCGCTTTGCACTTTGTATTTCGTTTGTTCGATAGGTTTACAACAGAGCTGCTTTTCTTTTGTAACTTAAAGAGTTCCAGAAAAGACAACACTTTTTTTTTCTCACCAACTAGGAAATCCTTCCAAGACTAAAGGCATCTCTGAGGTCACGTGACCCAGAAAGTCGGAGAACCCGCAGCAGCACCGGTCACACACACTGCCCCGTTCCGTGCTCGTTGCCTTCGACGTCTGGGCCATTTCTTCCACAAGAAACCCCTCAGCCTGCCCTCTTCCGAGGGCTGTTCCTTTTCCCCCCGGTTTACAGAAGTCTTTCCAACGCTGGCTTTAAGGGGTTTCATTTCCGGACTTGCCAAAGGTACTGTTTTCTAAAAATTGCTCGGCTTTAGAAGGCAGCCGAGGACACGGCCTCACCTTTTGAAACTTTCCTCCACCTGACTTGTAGAAAAAAATCAAAATTCTCACCCTCTGCTGAGGTGCAGTGGCCCAAAACGTGAAAACCTTCCGGGACAGTTCAAAGGGCCAATTCAAAAATTAGTCTGCAGTGAGAAAGTAGACGACCTTAGTGGGTGGATATGACATTATTTTGCAAGTCAGGTGGATTCCAATTGTTTGCCTTCAAACAAAACTGAAGAAAGACCTGTCAGGCCAATAGGCCATTAAAATGATTGGCTAATAGATCAATATCTGATTCTGAGTTAATGTACCTCCAGGAGCTTCTAAAATTGAGTAACGGTTACTATGGCTAAGCACCTTCCATCTGTATCGTTAATCTGTAGCTGTATAACAGTATTACCACTAGTCTGGAAACTTAAGCAACACACAGCTTCTATGGATCGGGAGTCCAGGCTCAGCTTAGCCTTCTGCAAAGTAAGGCACTCCTGGGAAAAAGGATTTGCTTCCGAGTTCACCTCGCTGTTGGCAGCATTCAGTTCCTTGCAGGCCGCAGGACTGAGGGCCTCGGTCTCTGCTGCTGGCTGAAGCCCCCTCGGCTCTTTGCCCAGGGGCCCTCTCTCTAAGGAAGTTCACCATATAGCATCTTGCTTCTTCATAGCCAGCCAAGGGAACAGCCTCCGCAGACACTGGTTTCTCAGCTTATGTAACAGAACCACCACGTGCACCTGATCATTCCCATCCTGTGGCCTTTGCTGTGCCCCACCTGCACTCAAGGGGCGGGGACTGCACAAGGGTGTAATACCAAGAGGTGGAGAGCACGCGGGTTCACACCAGGGTCTGTCCACCACACCGTTTACCTAGCTATGCAAATCCCATTCCCTGTAAACTCAGCCTCTCCTCCGAATTTCTCCTCAGCTTCTTTTGTTTTTTTTTTTTTTTTTTTGACAGGCAGAGTGGACAGTGAGAGAGAGAGAAAGGTCTTCCTTTTTGCCGTTGGTTCACCCTCCAGTGGCCGCCACGGCCGGCGCATCGCGCTGATCCGAAGGCAGGAGCCAGGTGCTTCTCCTGGTCTCCCATGGGGTGCAGGGCCCAAGCACTTGGGCCATCCTCCACTGCACTCCTGGGCCACAGCAGAGAGCTGGCCCGGAAGAGGGGCAACCGGGACAGAATCTGGCACCCCAACCGGGACTAGAACCCGGTGTGTCGGCACCGCTAGGTGGAGGATTAGCCTATTGAGCCACGGCGCCAGCCTCTCCTCAGCTTCTCCTTACCTTTTTGCTTATGGGAAATCTGACTTTCCCCTGGAACACTGCTTCCTTTGCCACTGGCCACAGTCATGACTGTTTTCAACAGTAAGCCTCTTAGTCTGTCCAAGGAGCTTGTCCTGTCCTAACTCAGCCACTTACTCCCAGAGTCATAATCCAGGGATCTTTATCAAACTGCAACTTCTTCATGTTGACAATGTAAGCCTTCTCACACTCCAGTTAGCACCTTGTATTTCCAAGTCACTTCCTGGAGTACTCTAACTCCAAAAAGTTTTTTTTGTTGTTTTTTTTTGTTTGTTTGTTTGTTTGACAGGCAGAGTGGACAGTGAGAGAGAGAGACAGAGAGAAAGGTCTTCCTTTTTGCCGTTGGTTCACCTTCCAATGGCCGCTGCGGCCGGCGCATCGCGCTGATCTGAAGCCAGGAGCCAGGTGCTTCTCCTGGTCTCCCATGGGGTGCAGGGCCCAAGGACTTGGGCCATCCTCCACTGCACTCCTGGGCCATAGCAGAGAGCTGGCCTGGAAGAGGGGCAACTGGGACAGAATCCGGCGCCCCGACCGGGACTAGAACCCTGTAAGCTGGCGCCACAAGGCAGAGGATTAGCCTATTGAGCCACGGCGCTGGCCAAAAGTTTTAACCTTTGTACCCATTTATTCCCATCCTTACCCAGGCTAATCCCCTGGCCTATCATTACCATCACTTTTGCACACACCCTCAACCCCTTTACCTTCTTCCCCTTTGTGCTTGGCTCTACAAAAACAAAACCCTGATTCAGGTCCGCTCACCACCTACCCCACACCAGTACCCGTGCTTCTGAATGTGTTTAGCAAAAAGCACAATCACACTGACTAGTGTCACTGTAATTTCAACACAGTGCTGCCAGCGACACTATGTCCCTCCTCTATTCTCCTAGATTACGTCCCTTGTCTTTCTTCTAACCTGTACATCCTCCCTTCCCTCTCACCCGATAACCTGCTTCCTATTTCTGTAAGAAAGTCAAAGCAATGAGACAAAACGTCCACAGAATCCCCTAACATATCTCTCATAGCTGCAACACAGCCTTGTCTCTGCCTTCACCTTTATTATATACAGTGGAATCTCCATGATCCTGGACAAAGCCAGTCCTCCCACTGAAGCAAGGACTCTCACTCCGACTGGCCTGATCAAGATCATCACTATCATCCAGCAACTACCCACCCTCCCTTCTGTGTTATCAATATTTCCCTCTACTGGGTCATTTTCATAAGCTTAAAAGCAACTGTTAATTCTCCAGTCATACAGATTCTTCTGTGTGACTCATCTCCACTGTCTGCTACCACCCATTTCTCTGCTTCCTTTGTAACAAAATTTCTAAAAGAGTTTCTATACTGTACACTAGTTCTCTTTCTACTCTGGAAAAGCAGATTCCATACCATATATACATTTATATAAAGTTCAAAAGCATGTCAAACACTTTGTATGTTGAGACCACATACATTTGTAGCAAAATAATAATGCACATGAGACTATAAATATGCATATGTTGAGTTGTCAGCTGAATGAGTAGGTCTCCCACCCTCACTGCATCCCACTCCAGTCATGCTTTCATCCTACCAGTCTTTTTTTTTTTTTTCTTCTTTTTTTGACAGGCAGAGAGGACAGTGAGAGAGAGACAGAAAGGTCTTCCTTTGCCACTGGTTCACCCTCCAATGGCCGCCGCAGCCGGCGCACCGCACTGATCCGATGGCAGGAGCCAGGTACTTCTCCTGGTCTCCCATGGGGTGCAGGGCCCAAGCACTTGGGCCATCCTCCACTGCACTCCCGGGCCACAGCAGAGAGCTGGCCTGGAAGAGGGGCAACTGGGACAGAATCCGGCGCCCTGACCGGGACTAGAACCTGGTGTGCCGGCGCCGCAAAGCGGAGGATTAGCCTAGTGAGCCGCGGCGCCGGCCCCATCCTACCTTTCTTAATGAATACACTTGTCATTGTCAACAGGGAATGCACACTGGCTGAACCCAATGATCTGCTCTGAATTCTCGCCTGATTCACACATACCCTCTGGGTTTCCCTCCTCCATCCATGGTGCTTCCCTCCCTGTCTTTGCTGATTCCATCTGTTTTCTCAAATCCCTAACCTTGCAGTGAGTGACACAGGGTTCGTTCCTTGGACTTCTCTTTTTTAGCTATGTTGATTTCCGTGATGATCTCATCCAGTCTCCTGACTTTCCTTATCATTGAAGGTACCTGATATCCTACATGATGACCACTCCCAAAGTTCTCTCTCTACATCAGACCTCTTGCCTGAACTCCAGATTCTGATATCCAGCAATCTGCTGCACACCTCAAACTTAACCTGTCACAAACAGAACAAATCCCCCCTCAATTCTGTTCAAACCCTTTGGCTTTCCTATCTCAGCTGATAACAACTCCATCCATGCTGGACTTTCCTCTTTCTCTTGCGTCCATTTCCAGTCCAAAGTCCGAGCACCTCTGGCCACCTCCACTGCTGCTCCTGCCCCCGTCTGAGCCACCTTCAACATACGTGTTGATTTGTCTTCGAAAAGTTTGCCCTGCTCTCTTGCTTGCCTCTTCTCTACATAATAACTACACTAATCCTCTTTAACAGATGTCAGAGGTCACGCCTCTGCTTAAATCCTTGCATCCAATGCCCCTGCTTTCAGAGTAAAAGTCTACAACCTTACGACAGTCTGAAGGGTCTGTAAAATTGGTGCCACCACCCTGCCCCCAGTCACGAACTCCTTAAATGCATCTGCTGTCTTCCTCCTCTTGGACACTGTGCTCCGTCTTCCCTGACATCAAGTTGACCCAAGAAGATCTCAGGCATGTGCCCACATCAGGGCCTGTCGCTAACTGTGCCCCCTGCCTGGTCCACATTTTCCCCAGCTAGCTGCTTGCACTAACTCTCACCTCCTTCAGTCAAAAATCACCTTCTCAGGGCCGGTTTCATGGTGTAGCACGTAAAGCTGCCACCTGTGATGCCGGCATCCCATATGGGTGCAAGTTCTAGTCCCGGCTGCTCCACTTCCCATCCAGCTCCCTGCTAATGGCCTGAGAAAAGCAGCAGTGCTTGGGCCCCTGCCACCCATGTGGAAGACCCCAAAGAAGCTCCTGGCTCCCGGCTTCAGGGTGGCCCAGCCCTGGGTGTTGTGGCCATGTGGGGAGTGAGCTGGTGGCTCAAAGATCTCAGGGCTGTGGTTGTGGCACAGCCAGTGAGCTGCTGCTTTTGATGATGATATCTCGTAGGAACGCCGGTTGTGTCCTGGCTGTTCCACTTCCCATCCAGCTCCCGCTAATGACCTGCAAAAAGCAGAGGAGGATGTCCCAAGTGTTTGGACCTCTGCTACCTGTGTGGGAGACTGGATGAAGCTGTCCTGGCTACTGGCTGTGGTTTGGCCCAGCCCTGACCATTTTGGTCATCTTGGGAATAAACCAGTTGGTGGAAGATTCTCTCTCTCTCTCTCCCTCTCTCTTTCTCTTTCTTCTTCTTCTTCTTCTTCTTCTTCTTCTTCTTCTTCTTCTTCTTCTTCTTCTTCTTTTCTCTCTCTCTCTCTCTCTCTCTCTCTCTCTCTCTGTGTGTGTGTGTGTGTATCTGCTTCTGTCTCTGTAACTCTGACTTTCAAATAAATATTTTTTTTGACAGGCAGAGTAGACAGTGGTGGACAGTGAGAGAGAGAGAACAGAGAGAAAGGTCTTCCTTTACTATTGATTCACCCTCCAATGGCCGCTGTGGCCGGCGTGCTGATCCGAAGGCAGGAGCCAGGTGCTTCCTCCTGGTCTCCCATGCAGGTGCAGGGCCCAAGCACTTGGGCCATCCTCCACTGCACTCCCGGGCCACAGCAGAGAGCTGGACTGGAAGAGGGGCAACCGGGACAGAATCCGGCGCTCCAATCAGGACTAGAGCCCGGTGTGCCAGCGCCACAGGCAGAGGATTAGCCTATTGAGCTGCAGTGCCAGCCTATCAAATAATTTTTTAAATCACCTTCTCAATATGGCCTATCCCTACCCTTTTAATTTTTTTAAATTTAT